GTAATCGTAATAACACAGAACACCAGAATCTTATGTCTTTAGGTAATATTTGTCACAAAAATACTAAGGAATAAGTTGAATACGTATAACTATATCATAACACAATGAAAGAGACGGAGTGTGATCTTCATATAGCATCTTCTTACTCGGTGTTGGTGATCTTGAGCACCCAACGCAGCCGATTCCATTAACTGAAACAGAATTCGGTGTTGTCTTCTTCACCTTTGATTTTCTTCGTTTTAATATGATGCTGCGATTCTGGACGAAAGTAGAATGCATGGCGCATCTCCAGAGAGGAATGATCAACGCCGAATGCTCTAAGTCTCTTTTCTCCATAATCCTTTAGTAGTTACACTTAAGCGTGAAAAATTGCCAGCTTTATTGTGACGCAATATGATTATTTGATGAAGCAAACTCCACCCACTTCACAAGCCCCGCCCATTGCTCATAGGCATAACCTGTAATAATCCCCAGACGGTGAAAAAGGCTCTAACTAGTAGATCCTCATCTCAACCGTCATGCTCACGACCAAAATCAAATGCCAACGAAGAAGCAAAAATCTATGGTGTAGTCTCACAGGAAACCACATATGTAACCTTTCCTCTTTTCGATCGATCAACGATTCAAACCAAAGCTCACTACCCTATCGCCTAGGATGCTTCAAAAGCAAAGTGCAATTGATGAACGCGTTACGGGTCTCTTCTTCCCCCCTACCCTTAACTTTGAGCTATCATTTGAGTAGAGGAAAGTACTTATTACTTGAAATGTGTAGAGACCAACCTGCTGGAAATTGAATTGAAATGGGAACGACAGGAGCGGATTTTGCGAACCAGGTTCGTCGCCTTTTGCCGTATTGATCAACAAGCTATTAGCAGTGGCTCCTCCTGAAATTTTGCAGAATTTGTCCACAGTATTACAGAGTTCAGCCGCAGTAATTTGGGATAAACAAATTTACGGTGAACTTATCAACTTTCTCCTAAAGGATAACCGATTACAACAAGGTTTGAGAGCTTCTCAACCCATCACAGGCCCTCTGTTTTCGCAAAGAAGCAGTGAAATTGTCATGTACTGTATTCTAGTTCTGTGCTAATAGGTACCTCTGAGAGTCCAAAATCAAGCAAAATTTTCAAAAGGCACAAAACTGAAGTGAGAGGAGGGAAGCTGGGAAATTTTTTGGTTGGGACCCTAATTTGTTTCCTAATAGCTGAGTTTTCGATTGCCATACGCCAATAGTCAAAAGTTTCGCATAGGTCTCAAAGCTAGCTCAGAATTAAGCTCTTTTCTGACGTCAGTGCACATTGCGCTCATTTTCTCCGGTTTTCTCTCAAGACTCACCTTCCGAGCCATTTGACGAATTCGTGTACACACAACCTTGCGGTAGTTGAAATATCGTGCCATTAGCGGAGGTATTTGCGGTAAGACCTAGAGAGAAAAGGGATGATAGGCGTAGAAGTGGAGTATGTTAGAAAGTGTTGTCGATTTCAAAAAAGTTCATTCGGCTAACTCGTTAGGATCTTGAAAGTACGGTATTCGCCAGAAGGGTAGATATAGAAGGATAGTGCGTATCTGCCGTATGGGGAGATTATCTAGAGGAATAGTGCCTTAGGGGAAAACAGGGCTGCAGTAATCTGTTCGCCGTCGAACGTGCAGGGCTGACCAATCCGCGTAACGTTATAGCCGATCTCCGGCGTAGAAGAGCAGAAAGTGGCGACTCGGAAGATGTGCGATCTCTGTGCTCTGCGTGCCCGGAGCGCCATAGTGTCAAGAAGTAACAATTCAGTAAGTAAGCGCCATAGCATGATATAATTACTTTCGAGCGTCTGGCTCGTTTTTTTCCATCGAGCTCGTTCCAGCTATTTCAAAACCTCATCAACGGAGGTGATCACGGTGGCGGGAAGCGCCTTTCATGACGTCCCGCCGTTAAACCTTCCACACTATCAGTTCACGTCACGTCCATCACCGTAAACAGAATCTGCCACTGAGGATGCGATGGAATTGTCGCAGAGGGTGTGGTGATGAAAACCTACGCACTAGATTTACTAATTCAAAAAGGGCCCTACAAGAAAGTATGGATTATCAATCGTCCTTCAAAGAGTAACGTTAACGGTCAAATATTTAAGCAAATACGGTGTTGAGACCTGCAATACAGCTCATGCACTGCCCCATCCATTACCTTTGGATTATCCTGTAGTGGTAGCGGTAATGTCACAATAAAGATAACAAAGCGGATGGCGTGAGATTCATCCGTTTTTTGGATGAAGCCACGCATTCTGAATCATGCAGAATCGTAGCAGCATTTGAACGCATTAGGCCCCACCACCAGAGGAGTTTCGGAAGCCAGCCAATGTACAACCAACTACATCCTCTTGAAAGCTGAGCAACTGGCCGCGGAGGGATGGGAGCCTTGGTTGGCCTAGTTGAGATTTGATGTACGGACCGCGCAAGTGGAAAACGGTACCACCCCTGCCCTCGTGATGTTAGCTAATAAATAAGTAAGCGCAATGCATCTGCAATCGAATTCTACGCAGTTTTCTTCTAAAATCGTTTTCTGGCAGCTAAATCTTCAAAAAGAGAGACTATGATGGGAATGATCCATATTGATCAATTGCAGGATTGAAAGCCGTAGGGAAATACAATGAAACGATCTGATTTGTAATATATGATTTGTTTATATGAGAAAGTGGAGGTGGTTTAGAATTGTCGTACGGTAATTTTTCAAAATACGTTGAAGGGACGGCTGTTAGAAGTTAAGTAGGGTTCATTGGATAGGTGCTAAAAGCAAATAAAAAGGTAAACAGTGCTCAAATAGCCAAAATTAGGCCATAATGCTAAAATCCTACCGTACCCAACTCAATGGCATTTGCCTTTCAAGCAACTTCAGATAGATAAGTCTCAGAACTGCATGTTTACTGCCGTACCTGAGAGGAGAAACGGCGCCAGAAAGGCGTTCGCATTCGCCGTGGCGGCCTGCGACGCAGGCGGCGGCTGTGGTGGGCTGGCTTGTCGTCGTTTCTGTTGCATCAGACGTGTGTTTCCGGCGGCTTTCAGTGCCTCTTTTAGCGTTTGCTGAAGGCTGGCAGCCAATTCGGCTTGTTCTGAAAGATAAAGCTGGTTACTATGTGAAACTTCACGAAGGAGATTTTCATCCATGAAGCACTCGTAAAGATTTGACCTTCAAGGGTTTAAAATCGAGATAAACCGCATGGCGCAGTGTCTCAGGGCTCTTGTGCTCGCCACATGGTTCATCCCGAGCGCTCAGTTAGGAACCGTCATCGACAATCCATCACCTATTCCATTTCTTTTGTATACCGTGGAGGGCAGCACTGTCCATGTCGCAGTCACTGTCGCGTGGATCAATCAACTCGGTGATCAGCTCGGCCACTGGACTAAGGAACATTTCACTGAATTCACGGGTCGGCACGAGTGAGCCGAAAGAAATCAAAACTGTGGGGTCGTTTAGGTGGGTGAAAGCTAAGTTGAAGTCAAATTCGTGGCTCATTCAGAGCAAATAAGACAGGAAAATCTTGTATGGTCCGGGTACGTATGAGAGAGCTTCATTAAAATTCTCAACAGAACACGCAACCCGTCATACCCAAGGGTTTTAGCCAAGATCAAAGGAATTTTCTTCTGTTCCTCAACCGATCCCATCTAAGTGCTTTAGCTCTACTTGAAATGACTATAAGCCTACGAACATTGAAGGGGTATTTTAGAGCAGTGAACACGATGGCTAGGGACAGAGCGGTTCGGTGAAGTCATTAGTATGCCATACATGATCAAACCCCCGGAGGGGTAAGTTAACAGATTGCCTTTCTGCTCCGCCCCAATGCACGCCCATAAATGACGTCCATCAGAACCGCTTCATCTTCCAGCATCGTGTTCCGTTCACAGCCATGCTTTGAGCCCTAGGTTAAACGCATTCCGACAGAGAAGATGATTGATTTCACTGGGGGGAACAAACGCCCAAAACTTTCACTATTTACTATGCCTTGTAGTGGTATACTGTGGTCCCTATCATACGCCTATCTCTCGATGCATCAGTGAAGCTTAGAGTGTAAGATTGAGCGGTGGTTGGTTGGCCCCCGAAATAGGCAACACACTGCGAGGTACAAACCCGCCACGGCTCCTTCCGCAGCTCGCAGCGAAAAAAGGTGCTGTGTCGCTCTTGAGGAAATCGAGCGTTTGGCTCGATGAAGAGCTTTCAGCGCATTCCACTGATCTCTTCGCAACCCGTCGGCAACTTGAAATTCTATCGGTAATACTTGCTTCAGCTCCCGATGGAAGGTATCTGGACACGTTGGGCTGCCACAAATTGCTGACCTATCGACCGCCCAGTTTTAGGCCACAAATCCTTGATGAGGGACACTGATAATGCCATATCAATCAGGCGCTCGAGTGCTACACCTCTATGTAGTCTCATCACAAGTGGGAAATTACTGTGTAACTCTCAAGTCTCAGTTCCATTAGCGCCCCCCAAGATGCCTTGAAAAGCACGGCTCCGCTCAACTTTTCCGTTCCGCAGGTAGATTTTGCAACATTGACTAACAATCTAAATTGACAGGAAAGATATGTGATAAAGACCATAATTGCCCTGGTTTCCAGTTCAATCCAAAAGTCCTTCACAGGTCCTGAAATTTCTGACCACTCACCGTCTTTCTTCTCTTCGACAGCTGGTGGCTCTTCTTTGGCCTCGCTTTGTTCCTCGCTATCCGAATCATCTCCGCTATCGTCCTGGTTGTAGTCATCCTCGCCAAATGAACTGAACAGCGCTGTCGGCACCATCGTTGGCAATAAGGAGACGAACTGCTGGAACATCTATAACTGATTGCTCGGTACATCCACAGTAGCATATACTCTCTCTTAAGTGCAGTACTACCGCAAGATACGGGGGCATTTTCAAAACGGAGCTTAGAAAGATGCAAAGCTCTGAAGATGGCATAATTGTCTTCACGGACCCACAAGTCGCTTCCTGACTCTGTATTGGGGCTTAGACTCTTTTCAAACAACAAAGGAGATGCTGTTGTGGTTAAAATACATTGACACAATGCCCGTAAATCTTGCGATGCGCTCGTTAAGTCACTATCATTTTGTCAAATATATGAAATGGTTCAGCTTCCAAAGCTTCTAAAATTTCTACACGATAATGGCAGTCAAGGTAGCACTTGAAATACCTCCTACTTTAAACAGTTTCATTTAGAGGTCCTATCACTTCCGGGACGAGGCGGAACACTGCCCGTTTCTGAGATGTCTCTCATTTTCAACGCCACCGTTGGCAGTCAATATTTAGCCAGTTCGGACGCACGGAAGCTGGAGAGATGCAGTCTGTAGTGTTTGCGGAATGAAAAAGGCTTCAAGCTCTTTTTGGGTAAACACCCACCCTCCTCTCCTTGAGGCTCACGTGTTTCTGCGCTCTGTTTGCGCTACCGGGCGGCAGTGGCGACGGATTTGAGAACGTTAAATGTTGCGTCACGTAGGACCGATTTCCCATCTTAGAGAGGACCAACGAACAAATAGGGTTTTAAAAAAAACCAACGACTAAAATGAAATTATCTGTTCAGTATATAAATAAACTATCCTCTTGAATGCCCTTTTCGGATCTCCAATAATTACTGTTTGTAATTCCATCGAAAGCCTATTGTTTGTATTTCTTTGGGAAAATCTTAAATCTGTCGAGAAGAAATGAAGATTCTAGGCAGTTGTTAGACATTTCGGAACCGAGATTCGGAAACCTAAGTCTAACCGGCATTCACCGCTATAGAGAACCTTATGGGGCCATCTGAACCTTTCCATTCTCATTGGATATATCGCTCAGTACTCAGACCCGGTATGCGCCCTACCTCAAGGAGGAATTCACAATAAGAACGAAACCCAAAGAAGCGGTAAATTGCATAGTCGGGTGGCAGGCGAACCTTCTGAGGCAGCTGAACGGCGAATTCGGTATGCAACTAAGGCTTGATCTCGGCAATTCAGCATGGCTCACTCTTGGCGCTGTTGGCGGGGCACGCCCACCGACTATCTAAGGCAAAGAAGAGGTCCATTTCTCGGTTTTCGGGCCGCTTCACATGGTTTCTTCTTCATCCCTGCTCCACTGACCACCTTTACCCTTATTTCAAATTAGCTAACGATTCATGGAGAATTTTGCCTTTAGCATCCATTCAAAAACTATGATAGAGTTGGGTAGCTGTTGAGTTTACACAACAATCTGCGGCCGTTGAAAGTCGTCAAGCCGCCGTTCTCGACTTTTTAATGGGTAAGCCTTTAGTGTTTGAAAGGACTAAATCGATGCAAGTCAACCTGGAAAGCCGATTGGGTGACTGATAAATGTGGTCTAATCTTCAAAGCCCTTGGGCTACGCATCGTGACCAGGCCCCAATTCAACCTTGCTCAAGGCAGGATCAAAATTCAGAAGCCAACTGACTTGAGCCCATCCTCAGTTCGTCACTAGCTCCTTGATTTTGATCCCACCCAACCAAAAGCGTAGACCTATGAGGACATGGATCGGTTTCTGCACTGGGCTGACTGGAGGGAAGCCGAGTTTCAGATCCATCACTTGCTAATGAACTCAAGGAGAAGATATGTCTGAATTAACCATAGGGAATTCTAGGGGAGTAAGAACTGGCACTCATGTAAGGCTATATAGGGCTAAATCAATAGGGGGTGCTCTTCCAATGACTTCGTTGTTTTTTGGCACATGATAAGCGCATGGCGAATCCTTGTGGCGATACGTCCACATTGCTATCGAGATCTGTGTTGCATTGCGAAGGCAGGCAGGTTTTTGATGTGAACTCTGAAGTCCAGATAAATATAGCATAAGCCTTTTGAAATTCCTCCATATGTTCACAGCTGCTCGCAAGTACTTTGGCTGTTTGTGGTGTAAAGTCCATCGGAGAGCTGTAGTTCTCAGTATTAACTCGTAGTAATAATTAACGAGTTAACGATTTTGTACTGACGTTCGGGGACGCCCCTGATTGGGCTTTCAATTAACGGGAAGCGGTCTGTGTGGGCGGCAGATTTGCCGATTCAGATCCAGATCAAAAGGATCTCTTTACACTGCTAGGCTATAAAACGATCTAGATTGTCCTCGATTTCTCCAGACGCGATTATCATCCGTGAACAAAAGATTAATTTATATCAAACCAGTCAGTGGGAAGCAGTCTACAGCAAAGCGAAATTCGTAATCGATTTCGATGCATCGCGCCGCGTACTTGATAAAAGCCTTCCATTCCCAGTGAATTGGAAGTGATCGCTTGTTGACCTTACAAAACTACTCACTTACTTTTTCGGCTTGATGGATTGGTGCCTACCTGAAGGTTTGGTAGCACTTTAGGTGTCAAGGTTTTTGCTCCAAACCGCATTGGAAGATCCAGTAAACACCCCTTCAAGGACCATGGTCTGGGGTGGGCAAGTAGCCAAATGCGCTACCGTAAGATGTTCGGTCTAAGGGATGTAATACCTTCATTGAGTTAAGACTTATGGTTAGAGTAACCTGCAAAGCTATACTCCAGTAGAAGGCGCCCTTCCAAAGGCCTTCGTAAGATTTGAAGTAAGTAGCACTGCAGGGTTATACCCAATCAGAGAGCGCCCTTCCAATGGTTTCATCGTTTTTCGGCACATGTTAAGCGCATGGCGAATCCGCCAGGTGACTGGATCAAGCGTTCACGGTAGCTAGAGAAACTCGCATAGATTCTGAAGGGCCGACTTTGAAGTGGTTTTCCTACCCTGAAATCACTGTAGCCGCCAAATTTGCTTTCATGGGCCTCAATGGTTTTGAGTAAATGTCGAGTGCATGGCGCATCCCGAATATCGCCCTATTTATAACCCACAGCTGCATTTTGCATTGAACCCAAGGAAATCGCAAAAGAAAGCCGATCGCCAAGCTGACTTGGAAACACTGAGGGGCACAGATGGAGCTTATGATAAAGTAAAGCTCAGCTTATACCTTTAGAGTGAACCCAGGAAATATTTGTTCTGAGATCCGTACTTCCCCTTTCAACCCCCTCCTTCCGCCTCACAAGTCCCTTTGCTGACGGCCGAAACCCCCCACGAAGAGCTCCTAATTGCCAGCCGGCGATTCGATCGATAGTTAGCGAGATGGGAGGCGTCCTGGTGTGACTCGAGAGGAAACGAAGAGGAAGAAGCGTCCTTTCGCGGCAAGTGTTCCTGACTCGTCCGTCTCTTGGCTAAACACACACACCGACCGTCAGAGAGCGACTAGAGAACGCTCGCCGGCCGGACACGCAGCGCAGGCCATGCTCAGTCGGCTGACGAACAACCGGTTCCGGAAATCGCTCACATTCCGTAAAATCTCCTCTCAGCACAGACGGAAAACGCTCGGCAAAGAAAACAAAAGTACTCGCGCCAAAAAGAACTTCGTCCGTCCTACTAAAGTGCTTCTTCGAGGAACTGGATATCTATTCGAGAGGTAGGCATCTCGATGGCTTACCGTCACATGATTAGGGATGTTCTCGTCATGGCAACTGCTCGAGACCATTTGAGTAGCACCTAGGGATACGGTAGGGCATAACAAAAGGGTAAGCGATCTACAGCTCATTTCGCGTTTGATGCTTTAAGAAAGCTGTGCACTTATGGCTGTCAACGAATGCCTTTGAACTATTCGTCATCACTCCTAAACAGCTGTTCGTCTCGTGGATGAATCGGGAAAGTTCTCGATGCCGTCACGCATCAGGACATTCTTCGAATTCAGTTGAAGGCCCATGGGAGACTTGGGGTCATTCAGGGTTGTCAGGCAAACGGATTGTCTTTGCCATTGATAACAACTGCTTCAACAGTGAGATGAGGAACCTGGTAGGGGACCAACTTATCCAGACAATCAGCTATTAGCTCAGAACTAAACTGGTACATACTAGGAGCCTGCACGACCAGAAAGTGGTGTAAACAATCTTACCGTACCTATAGGACATTCCAGGCCCGAAACAGGGTGCCTAGATTATCTTCTGGTCCGATCAACGCGGTGCATTGACGTTTAAGCACCTGTAATCCACCTCTAACCCCTACCCTGCATTGTGAAATACGCTGCAGGAGACGACAAATTTTTAAACCTCTAGAGCTTCTGATCTTTTCCATGTCTTCTCGGGAGTATGTGAAGAATGACCCAATTTCTGTTCTTGATGGGTGAGGATTCATCACCGCAACGCTGCACCCTCAAGTTTAGACCTCAGAGCTAACTACTGACTCATGGAACAATTCCAACTGATGCCCGTAGTATAGCAAGCTTCATGCGTGATTCGATACCATGGAAACACGGTCAATAAAAATTTTTGAGCGGAGTTACCCACAAAACGGAAGAAATTGTAACGAAATTGATAGCAACACATTTGGAGTTACGGTAGTGTTTTAGGTGCCGTCTTAAGGCTGAATTTAGAGGCTCGACACTGTCTTGCCAAAGTAGCTGGAAACTATGAAAGTAACAGTCCAATAACTAAAAATCCATCACAAATTTCAGCTCATCCGACCATGGCGCTTTCATGGAACCGCAAAAGACACCATGTTCCAATACCCTGCTATTCATGTTTAGAGTACGCCAATACGGCATCCGAAAGCTACGCTCGAAATCGCTCGTTCAAATTTCCAATGTGTTGAACCGGTAGCATGCAAAACCCCGCCGGGAAGGGTCTGCGATCCGAAAAACAGCCGTCTCTCCGCCTTTTTATACTTAATCATTTACGTTTTGAACTTTATAAGCACAGTGATGACAGTTGGTTTAAAAATAAGGCTTTAGTTTTTTTTCTTGTAAATCTAGTAAAATCATTGAACTGATATCAATAAAACATTAGGTAATAACGAAGTCTTCTTTT